GATAAAATTCTATGGAAATAATTTACTGAAAGTATAATTTTTTTTTTTTTTTTTTTTTTTTTTTTAATTACCAACTTTCTCCACACAATTTAATCTGGGAAGGAAAGAAAGAAAAATGCAATGTTGAATATATCAGGTAATAAAACCAATCTTTCATAAAAATATCAGACTGGGGCGGTAATTAAAATTCATCATGTAACATTCAACACTGCAATAATCGACCATAAAAATAAGCTACATGAAGTTAATATATGCTTCAGTTATAATATGAAGAGGAAAGACAAGTTTCTTTTAATTATCTTTTTTTTGTATGACACATTTAGTTTAGGAAATCTTGCAAAAATAATTGTCAGATGTTAATGAAACTTTCAGAAACTATTCACAGATGATCGAAACTGTTTTTTTTTTTTTTATTGCCCGCCCCCAAATAATTTTATGAAAACGCTAGAAATTCGATCGCATCGGGTTTATTAGTGATTACAATAAAAGCACAAGGTTTTGAGGAATGAAAATCATTTTTTTTTTTTACCTGAAAATAGCTCTGAATTGTAACAAAACTCAATAATACTTTTTTTTAGCTAATCAGAAGACCCGCAGTAATTAAATGTAATTTTGTCTTCATAAAAATTGTTGAAATGGATGTAAAAAGTACGAAATGTCAAAGCAATAAAAACGTCGCGTGGCTTGGGTGTAAGCGTTCTCCTCTGAACGTCGATTTCATTATTGCAAATTCTTCGTGCGAAACACATGTTGAGAGCATTTCTCAGTTCTCTGTCCATTCTTCCTGCAGCTCATAATCATTTCTTAAGTGTTTCATCCTGCTCAAAAGGTGCTCAAAAACAAAAATCAAGCCATTGTTCAAACTGATAAAAAAAAAAAAAAAAAAAAGGTGGATTTTTTACAAGTTGATGACACCTTAGCATTGTCGGCAGCAATGTCAGTCAATTTTGGTCTTATTTCAACAGTTTCCTTATCGCTGATTTAAAAAAAAAAAAAATAAATAAATAAATAAATAAATAAAAAGCATACATAAAAATAAAAATCCTGGTTTCCAGTGTTCAGGAATAGCAATTTTAACTTTTTCATATTTTATCCCCAGAAAAAATTTTTTATCATTTACAGTACACCAACCAATTTCACTTAGAAATGAAAGAGCATTCTTTCCTTTCAGGAAATACCTAGTTTCATGAGGTGCAGGTCAAGTTTTCTTGATGTTTTGTTCAGATGACAAAAGTCATTTTTCATTTTTTTTTTCTTCCAGAGCAAATAGGCTATAAGACATAGTATAAGTGTAACAAAATAACTTTTGATGTTTGTGATGATTTTTACTTTGGATAGAAATGTTTTATCATAGCAGATCTGTATTGACTTTATGGGGCTATAGTTGCCCTCAAAAAGCTGTGCAGCACTTGTATTTTAATCTATTTATAGTATTTATAATTTCTACAGATAGTATCAACAAGCTTATGGTGTAAGCTACAGTAATAAAAAAAAAAAAAAAGAAAAAACGTTATGTCAATTATGTCCTTCCGTATGATAACTCGATATGTGGTGACAGCAATCATTCATCACTTGTCAATAGCCAACCATGTTAAGATTTAGATTACAAAATTTAAAAAAAAAAAAAAAAAAAAAAAAACTTGATAGAGTTTTTTTTTTTTTATTTGTTACCTGACAAAAAAAAAAAAAAAATATTTCTAACTAAAATTTCGGACATGCTCAGAATGAGTAAAAAAAATAATCAAATACTTTGATATTTCTTGATATATATACTTAAGCAGACAATATGTTTCAAATATGCCGTTCTTGTCATGCTATGCTCTTTTTGTTTATTTTATATTTATTTTTAGAGGTACTTAAATGCTGTTTTTTAGAATTTTAATGGCACAAGTCATTAAAGCTCATTAAAAATAAAATACGTAAATCAATTCAGTACTCTCCTCAAATCTGGAAATAATTTACAGAAAGTATAATTTTTTAATATATTGTTTTAGTTACCAACTTTCTCCACACAATTTAATCTGGGAAGGAAAGAAAGAAAAAAATTTTCATAAAACTATCAGACTGGGACGGAAACTAGAATTATCATAGTAACATTCATTGCAGTTGGCTAAAGTTAATTATGTCTGTGTCATTAAAAACCTGGGAATTGATCTTCCATATTCTAAAAACTTCTTTTTGTTCATTTTACAAAATTCTAGAAAAATCTGATTTTGAAATTGAGTTGATGCATATTTTTTTTTAAAGGGATTGTTAAACGGCGCGAGATAAAATGTTGCCGTGTATCAGACGGTGGTAAGTAGCAAAATCAAGTGGGTATCAGAATTGGTACAGTCATCATATAAACAGCAACAAAAATTCATTGTAGGAAATAAGAAAAAAAAAAGCTTTCTAAGTGTTTGGCGTATTGACTTTCAACTACGTACCTCCATGAGATCGCTAAAAAAGAAAAGAGCATAGCATGGATGAAAAAAACGCCAAACTTGAAAAAATAAATTTTATCGTCTCTAAATGTTCATGTTAAGAGGAATGATCAAAGTATTTTGGGGGGTATTTTTTACATTTTTTTAACCCTCCCGAGCACGTCCGAAATTTTCGTTAAAATGTTTTTCTTTGAGTCAGCAAAATTGACAGATAATCAATTTATGGCATCCATTTTTTATAAAAAATATGAAAATCTTGAAATTCTTTAAATAAAAAAAAAAATCTATTATTTTTTCAAAACTTATTTTAAGAAAATCAGAAATTATGTTTATTTAAAATATTTTGAACCAAAGTTGACTTAGCTTCTGTGCCGAAAAGATGTATGTAATTTGAAAATAAAACAAAGCATCGTATCACTTGACAGGTGATGAATGACATTGACGGATTGACGTGATCATAATTTGTTCTAGGGAAGCCGAAAAGTGAAGTTATTTAGATTTATTTAAGTGAACAAATTATTTACCTCGTTATTTTTAAGGAAAACTCATTTTTTTTTTTTTTTGTACTTAGCTTTTCACTTTTACGATGCTTTATGGAAAATATATCATAAAGAAATTAAAATAAGACTTAAGAGCGAGATCAAATTTCATAAAGGTAAAAAATAATATAGTTTTATGTACATTTATTACATTTTACTGTTATTTGTATTTCCATTCATTTTATTATTAATTTTGATATTTCATTTATGGAAAAATGTTATAAGTGGGATTGATATAAAAATAAGTTCACAAATTTCATATGATACTAATACTTGTAGGTACCCTTCTCAGTTGAAATTGAAAAATCAATAACTTCGTGTTTCGCAAAAGTAAAGGCCTTAACAGCGGAGAACAATGCGTAACTCAAAAAACGCAACTTAATTGTATTCTGGTTGGTCTTCCGTACTTTATAATTACAGCTCGATTATAAAAAAAAAATCTACCTCATAAGGACACTCAGGAAACCAAAAATCTATCATAATTAAAGAAATAACAATTGTATTAGAAATTCATTTTTCTTCGAAAAAATTTTGCTTTCAGAAAATATTGTCCATATTCATAAAAACAACTAAAAGCATTTGAAATTAATATATTTGTTTTTGCGTTTTTGTATGTTACAAATTCAGTGCTGATTTTCAGGTAGTGCGGATCCAATTAAAAAAAAAAAAAAAAAAATTTGCATTCCTCAAAGCCTTGTGCCTTTAATTATTATTGTAATCAATCACTAAACCCGATGCGATCGAATTTCCAGCGTTTTCATAAAATTAGTTGGGGGAGGGGGCATATATATATATATATATATATATATATATATAAAATTCTGCCATGACTTTAATAAAAAAATTTATAATTTCGATCATCTGTGAATAGTTTCTGAAAGTTTCATCATTAACATCCGACAATTTTTGCAAAGTTTTCCAAATTAATGTGTCATACAAAAAAAAAATGCTTAAGTAGTTCCGGTGATACAAAGAAATAAGATTTTTTAAAGTCAAAATTTAGAATGTTCTAAAAAGAATTTTTAAAATAATTAATAAAAACTGGTCTTTTAATAATAACATGAATATTTAGACAAAATTTTGTTTTCGTTCATGTTTGGCGTCTTTTTCATCATGCTATTTTTTAACGATTTCGTGGAGTTACCTACTTTTATGATCATAAGCCATTTTTCCAATTTTATTTTTCATTCAATCAGACACCTAACAAAAAACCCTCAGATTTCAAAAGAACATTTCTCCGATTAAAATTAATGATCAAAACGTTTTAAATTTTAAAAAAATGGATATTTTTCAAATTCACAAATTCTTTAACAGATCCTAACGATTAAGATTAAACTAGGAAAAACCACGAATCTACACATTTTCTGCTAAAAGCTGTTGGGAGTAAAATTATCAGACACTGAGCTAAGTTCATCTCAACGCCCGCGAATTCTCACATTTTTTATATAGCACAAATAGACACCATAAACTTAAACAGGTTAAGTAAAGGCTCTTAAAATGTGCAAGTTTCGTTTAAAAGTTAACTCCGTGAATGATGGTTCTATTGAAACATTACATTAACATTAGGGAAAAAAAGTCCTTACTATTATTGGAAAAAAAGCAAAATGATCAGTAAAATAACAACGGCGGTCCGTAGCCTAGGTAAGACAAATAGTTCTAAATAAATCTTAAATGCTAATCTTGGCTTACAAGACCACGTGGTGACCATTTATTTTATTTCATGTTATTATATACTGCAACTTAGTCCGCAGATTTCAGGGAATTAAATTTTTGATAATTTTAAGTGTGGCATTTTGTTATAGTTGCAATATACGAGTAGCATTAATTCAACATGTTATATTCTAGTAGCATTATTAGTTAAATAGTCCTTACCCCTTACTTTAACTACAAGCACTCAAACCTTTTTAATGGCGACAGGGGAAAAAAAATTAAAAATATTGGACATGAAATAAATAATCACATGAAAGAACCCAACAATTTTCGTGGATTGTGGTGAAAAAAAAAAAAAAAAAAAAAAAAAAAAAAATCGTTTACTTACTTTAAGTCTTTCAGAGAGACACGAAAACGTGTTATGCCAAGCAAATGCAAAGTATGAAAGAGACCGGATATGCTTAAACGTCACTTAATCACGTGACGAATACTTCGTGACTTTGAACATCCTATAATTACTATTTTTTTATTATTTTTTTTGGCTAATATAAAATAAATATTTAAATAAAATACAAATAATACTTAATACAAATAAATATTTATTACATTTGATTATACAGTAATAAATGAATTACGGAAATGTCCGATGGCTTTCGGCAAGAGACGGATTGGATAGTTAAGTAATCACTTCGTATTAAAACACATTCATACGAAAAGAGAAGTGTTTCAGTTATCGGGTATTTTTGGTTTGTTATCCGCGTGCCAAATAGAAAAATAGCATCTTAAATAAAATTTCCTCGATATTATTTATTTCCATAAAAGAATGCATAAAAAGAGTGAAAATGTCCCCAGAGGTAGAAAGAAATAAGGATATTTTTTTCTTCTGGGTGCTTATAGGCTGCAAATATTAGTCGAAATAAATTTGTATACAGTATTTCGAACAATATTTTTTACTTTACATTTTGTTTTATTATAACACAAGACTTCAGATCCAAAAGACTTTTTATTTTATTTATTCTAATTATTTATTTTGTGTTAAAAAAAAATCAATTTTCACAGTATGAAGACTAACTCATTTACAAATTCCATGTTTTATTAATCATAAAAGTTGAATTATATTTCTTTTTTTATGGAAAATGTGTGCTCAGAATATCAATATAAGAGTGGGTAAATCTGGCTAAGCGAGTATTAATTCAGTATTCACAATATTTAGATTTTATAATGATTGTTGTGATTCCAGGTAGCTCTCTACTAAAAATAATGTCATAAGTAGAATTTAATTATTACTTAGCATTCAAAATCCCAAACAAGAAAATAAAAATAGTTTAACATTTAAATTAGGAACAACTGTAGAGCAATGGCTATATTTGTGTTGTAACAGTAAACTTACTGCTAAAAAGAAAAAAGTGGAAGTGACAAAACAACAAATGGAGATAAGATGTGGTGGAGATAAGTAAAAGGGTTTTTCTTTCCTGGTATTTACAAGGTTCGATTGTTTGCTAATTCCTAAATATTATATATTAGTTGTAGGAGACTGAGAGTTTGTTCAGGGTATAACACAAGGTCAAGATAGGCAGATGGAGAAATTCAACCAGCATATATAGATCAAGTGAGATAGACTTATGGGAGAAATATTCCATTGTAGCAGGGTACCAAATATATAGGTACTACTACTATTTATATTAATGATACTTCCACATACAGGATTCAAGTAATAATAACAACAACTCCAATTTGTTAACCAACAAATATATATTGAATAAAATACAACAACAAGCATGAAATAATTCTGTATTCACAAGGTAGATTAAAGAGAAGGAAGTTGTTTTCCCTTTAACTGTAGATTGATTGTAAGCAAGTGTTTGAAGAAAGTTCTCTTGTGAGATAAATGTTCTGAGCAAAGTTTGCATGTGAAGAATGAATAACATGAAGAATACAATTGCTTGAAATGTGTTGTGAATAAAGTGGTTTGAATCAACAAAGTTCTGGTAAATTGTGCTTGGCGAAAGTTACAAAGAGAAAATGTAAGTTTGTAGTTATGAAATTCTGTGTCACTGTGTGCGTTGAGCAAGATCATGGATTTGTGTTGACGGCTTGAATCTTACTGGCGACTTGCGAAAAGTCGCCCAATTTAAGGAAAAAAGGTAGGCTCCCACAGAACTGCGGGAAAACTTGATCTTACATTAAAAATATGTAATTGGTTAAAAATTAACCAAACACTACTCTCGTACTAAACAGAATAGGTAAGTATGCTCAGAACCAAAAGATTCAAAGGAACGACTGCGATGGCTAAATTGTCCTATACAAAGGTAGTAGTAATTTATTAACCAATCGCATCGAATAAAATGACTTGGAGTGTATATGGGTGTGAAAAACAGCAATCGCTAATACCATGAATTATCACATTGTATTATAGTAGTTGAAAGTAAGTCTTTGATTTCAATGTTGGCCAAAAGCATCATTGATAGAATTAAGATATGTTTTTGTCATATGAGTTGTAGATGTTTCAATTTAAGTTTGTTGCGGGGCCGATAAGGATGTCGCCCCCGCAAGCTTTATGAAGAAAAGTGTGAACAGCCAAGACAATGAGGGGACAAAGGCAAAGGTTTTTGGAACAATAACGTCGAATTTATTAATGCGTTTAAATCAATGTCGGGTCCGGTATGACTGGTTTGTTGTTTAGGGTAGCTTTCGGTCGTATAAAGTTGATCGGCGAACGTAGCTGGTTTGGTCGTATAGAGTTAATCGGCGAACGTAGCTGGTTCGGTCGTATAGAGTTGATCTGGTCCGGTCGTATAGGGTTGATCGATGTCCCTAAACAGGGCCAAGACTGAACAGTGATAGACTTCACAGGGCGGATCGACCGCGGAAACGGGATCGCGCCAAAGTGTATCACTCGGCGAGCAGCTTCGTTTTTGGACTACGAAAGTGGCTAACAATATTTGGAAAGATTTATTCAAGTACTCCCTGGCTAGAGGGAGTAGAAAACCGTAGATATTAAATTAATATCAATGGTTGCCGATGTTTGACAGGGCGCTGCATAATCCGATGCTCACAAGGTACAGTTTGGCATCAACGATATTGGACTAGTCGTCCGGTTTCTCGCATGTTGCTTGACCTAAATCTGCGAGATCAGGGGTTGTGAAGGTCAAGGTCGGCTTTCTAAGGAGCGGCTAATCGGCGACCGCGACAAGGCCCTAGAAAATTGATCATATCAATTAATAATAATAATATTTACGAAGGTCTTTAGGGAAAGTGACCCTCCTACCGGATCTGGTTTGCTGCACAGGAGTCGCTGGGGTGTCGTTTGATGTCTGCCGGGTGCGCTGGAATAGCATTAGGGGGCCGCAGAGCCGGGTTTGCGTCATACTGTCGCTTCTCCAGAAAAGCAGGCTTGATCCGATCGATCGCGATGGTGTCGGTCGAGTTGGCGCGCTTGATCGTAAGGTGCTTGTCGGTGCGCCGAAGAACCTGAAAAGGACCTTGGTATGCCGGCGTGAGTGGTCGTCTCACGGCGTCGTTCCGTACGAAGACGAATTTGCAATCCCGCAAGTGTTGAGGGATGTACGATTTCACCGGTTGCTGTCGCGGAGTTGCATATTTAAGCCGGGCCATTTTGTGGCGGAGTTCCTCGACGAAAGGAGATGTTGGTTTTGAAAACGTCTGAAGGGAGTCGTCGAAATATTCGCCGGGCAGCGCAAGAGGTGTACCGAAAACCAGTTCGGCGGGTGAACAACCTAAGTCCTCCTTTACGGTGTTCCTCAGTGCTAGGAGAATTAAAGGTAGGTCGTCCACCCAATTGATAGTGTCAGGTCTAGTGGCCAGGGAGGTTTTAAGGGACCGATGAAACCTCTCAACTAAGCCATTGGCGCACGGATGATAAGCGGTAGTCTTTATGTGCTTGGCACCAAGTAGATTGGTAAACTCCCGAAAAAGGGACGACTGGAACTGTGACCCCCTGTCGGTCGTGATGACCTGGGGCGTGCCGAAAGTTCCAATCCACTCTTTCAGGATGGTCCTGGAGACGGTGCTTGCAGAAGTGTCTTTTATAGGTATGGCGGTCGGCCACCGCGAAAAACGATCCACAACCGTCAAAAGATACTGGTAATCCCGACACATCGGAAGCGGTCCCACTAAGTCGACATGTATGTGTGAGAACCGCGCATCGGGACTGCTGAAGGTGCCGACGGGGGATTTAGTGTGTCGGTGGACCTTACACTTCTGGCACTCCATGCACGTGGAAACCCATTCTCGAATGTCCGCATTCATATTGGGCCAAACGAATCGGTCGGTAATAAGTTTGACCGTAGCTCTCTTACTCGGATGAGACAGCCTGTGGAAATGTTGGAATACCTGTCTCCGAAGTGTCGGTGGGATGTAGGGCCTAGGGCTTGCTAGGCTGGTGTCACAGTACAGGGTGTCGTCGTTGAAGGATGCAGGGAACTCCCGAAGCTTTAAAGAAGTATTTGAACGGACGTCTTGCAGCGTGGGGTCGGATTTTTGTTCAGCAGCTATGGAATCTTGACCCAAGACGCCGGTCTGAAGAGATTGAATTTCCGCTCGCGATAATGTATCTGCGACGGCGTTGTCCTTCCCCTTTATGTGACAAATATCGGTCGAGAACTGTGACAGGTAGTCGAGATGCCGGATCTCGCGAGCTGTATACTTGTCAGAGTTGTTACTCATCGCGGTAGTCAACGGTTTATGGTCGGTATAGATGGTAAAATCTCGACCTTCCAGTAAGTGCCTGAAATGCCTGACGGCCAGATAAATGGCCAGCAGCTCTCGGGAGAAGGTGCTATATTTTCTCTGGGCTGGCGAAAGCTTGGCTGAAAAGAATGCGATGGGTTCGCGTTGTGAATTGAATTCTTGCTCAACCACTGCGCCCACACCAGCGTCCGATGCGTCGGTTGTCAGAAAGAGTCGCGTCCCCGGATCGTCGTTGATATGCGAGAGCCTAATATAATTTGCCAATGCAGCCTTCGCTGTATGGAATGCGTGCAGAGCATCTCCCTCCAACGAGATGTCCTTATTCCTTCTCTGCAGCAGGTTCGTCAGTGGCTGGAGGATGGTGGCGCAATTCGGGATGAACCGACGATAAAAATTGACCATACCGAGGAAACGTCGCAATTGTTTCATGGACGTCGGTGTAGGAAAATCCCGGATCGAGCTGATCTTGTCTGGCAGAGGTGCTATGCCGTTTGCGTCGGTGCGGTGCCCGAGAAAATCAACGCTGGGCGCCCCGAAAACGCACTTGTCCAGGTTCAACTTCAGGCCGTAGTGCGAGAATCGCCGGAAGACTTCTCGCAGGTGTTGCCTGTGAGAATCGGCGTCTGTACTGGCCACCAAGATGTCGTCGATGTAAGCGTATACGTGCGGAAGTCCGCGCAGGACTTCGTCTATGAGCCGTTGGAAGGTCTGGGCAGCGTTACGTAGACCGAACGGCATTTTCAGAAGTTCATATAGGCCAAACGGTGTTGTGACTGCCGTCTTAGGGACGTCTTCCGCAGCGACGGGGATCTGATGGTATGCCTTTGTCAGGTCGATTTTTGAGAAGATGCGAGCGCCCACCAGTCCGGATGCAAAATCATAGATATGAGGGACAGGGTATCGGTCTGGTACGGTCGATGCATTTAATTTTCGGTAGTCGACGCATATCCGAAATTCTTTACCACCAGGTTTAGGCACTAAGTGTAGTGGCGAGGCGTAAGGGCTATCGGAAGGACGAATGATGCCATCACTGAGCATTTTGTCGAATTGCTCCTTGGCGTACGCCAGTTTGTGCGGAGCGAGTCGTCGCGGATGGGAGTGTGCGGGAGGACCTCGAGTTCTGATGTGGTGCTGAGTCTGATGGTCACCTGAAGCCATTACTTGGAGTGGCAGCGTTATATCCGTGAACTGTGTCAGGAGATCTAAGTACTCGCGACCATGGCATGTTGCGACGCTGATTCCTGTGGAGCCTTGACGTGTAGGGGTACCTAAGACACGGAGATTCATAGTCGTATCGGACAGAGTCCTAGGGTTCATATGGACCGCCAGTGCATAATGCGCCAGGAAATCCACGCCAAGGATGGGTACCTTCACGTTGGCCACGGTAAATGTCCAAGTGAAATCACGTCGCATGCCGATATTCAGAGTAAGGGTCCTTTCTCCGTACGTGTCTATCGTGGAACCATTCGCAGCTCGTAGTTTGACCAGGGTGGGCTTAGCGGTGTGGTCGTTCTGATAGGGTACCACGCTGATGGCCACACCTCTGTCTACTAAGAATTTCAATTTGTTCCGTCGATCCCAAACGTAAAATAGACGACATTGCGTGTTGGCACCGGAAGTGTTAGTTGTCGCGACTCTCCGGTTTATTCGTTTCCCCGGGCCGACGGATGTGTACAGGGAGGTTTACAATTCCTGGCCCCATCGTCAAATGTGCGATGAAACCAACAAACACCCTGGTCGCTTTGCAGTTCTCGGCTGGGGATTCGCCTCCGTCGAGATGGGGTCGATTTCCTCGTCCGTGGGCACAGGGAGATCTGGATCTCTCGAATTTGTCGTTGAAGGTTGGCCAACGCCCGTTTTGTTTTACTTGGCTCGTAGCGTTCGTGCTTTGCTATGTCGGGGGCGTGAACAGCGTTAACGCTGTGGTCAAACTGTGCAAAAACTAGATCAGCAGACTCTGCCAAATCATCCAGAGGCGTGGCTCTCGTCATTGGTGCGATAATTTGAGCGACTGATTTGGGCAAATGCTCCAGCCATAAACCTCGAAGAACCTTCTCTGACACATTGTGCTTTCCCAGTTGGTTCCTCATATATTTGAGAAGCTGGGATGGCGTCTTGTCACCTCTAGTGACGTTCCGTAGTATTTCCTGAATCATATCTTCCTCGGAATGTCCGGTTCGCTTGAGGATCGCTTCCTTTAAGTGATTGTATGGTTCATGTTCATGCAAATCGGAGAGGATGTCAGAAATTTCGTCCATCATATCGGATGGGAGTTTCTGCATTACGTTCGCGAATCTGGCTCGCTGTGAAGTGATGTGTAGCATTGAAAAGATGGATTCTACCTGCAAGAACCAGTTCTTGGCATTATGGTGGTATGCAGGCAGAGGTATGATCGCGGCCGTCATGTCTAAATAATCACTTTTGGCCGACTTCATCATCGCTTAGCTGTCTCACGTCGGGAAGTCACCACTTGTTGCGGGGCCGATAAGGATGTCGCCCCCGCAAGCTTTATGAAGAAAAGTGTGAACAGCCAAGACAATGAGGGGACAAAGGCAAAGGTTTTTGGAACAATAACGTCGAATTTATTAATGCGTTTAAATCAGTGTCGGGTCCGGTATGACTGGTTTGTTGTTTAGGGTAGCTTTCGGTCGTATAAAGTTGATCGGCGAACGTAGCTGGTTTGGTCGTATAGAGTTGATCTGGTCCGATCGTATAGAGTTGATCGGCAAACGTAGCTGGTTCGGTCGTATAGAATTGATCTGGTCCGGTCGTATAGAGTTGATCGGCGAACGTAGCTGGTCCGGTTGTATAGGGTTGATTGATGTCCCTAAACAGGGCCAAGACTGAACAGTGATAGACTTCACAGGGCGGATCGACCGCGGAAACAGGATCACGCCAAAGTGTATCACTTGGTGAAGCCGGAGTCCCTAAACAGGGCCAAGACTGAACAGCGATAGACTTCACAGGGCAGATCAACCGTGGAAACGGGATCGCACCAAAGTGTATCACTTGGCGAAGCAGGTCAGAGAGGTGATACGTCTTCCATGGTGGATCGACTGCGGAGACGGGATCGCGCCAAAGAGTAACACTCTCAACAAAGCACCGGAAGTTCACAAAGGCAGCGTACTACACTTTGATCCAGGCCCCCGGGCCGAGCAGCTTTGTTTTTGGACTACGAAAGTGGCTAACAATATTTGGAAAGATTTATTCAAGTACTCCCTGGCTAGAGGGAGTAGAAAACCGTAGATATTAAATTAATATCAATGGTTGCCGATATTTGACAGGGTGCTGCATAATCCGATGCTCACAAGGTACAGTTTGGCATCAACGATATTGGACTAGTCGTCCGGTTTCTCGCATGTTGCTTGCCCTAAACTGCGAGATCAGGAGTTGTGAAGGTCAAGGTCGGCTTTCTAAGGAGCGGCTAATTGGCGACCGCGACAAGTTAAAGAATTGGAGTTCCAACAGTGTAATGAATTTGATCTTTACAGCTATTGTAGCCTTCTTCCAGGCAAGTTTTCTAAATAACAAAAACATAAAATCAGGATTTACTGATTAACTATGAAATGAAATAGATGCTTTTTTTATAACAATAAATAGCTGTAAGCATACATGATCCTTGCCCATGCTTTTCACCAACCATTGTCAAAGACTTTATAAAGGAGCAGAAACACTTGAGATCAATATAAATATCAATTTTTCTACATTGGTGTCCATATTATCATGTAACCACTAAAATATTTTGCAATTCAAGCAATAAATCAATTGATCTATTTTAAATAACATTAAATGCATAAATATCAATATTGTTAAATGATCCCCTTATTTTGATACTACCCATCACTATTTAAATAAAAGAAATGAACATAAATTGTTTTATAAATGATAAAAAGTTCTAGAACAAATGATATAAAAAAACTTATTTACTTATACAAAATACTTGGATAAAGATTTCTAATCATAAATGTTAATATTAGCATGAAAAATAGCCTTTTTATTTGTAACAAAGATATTGATTACATTATTATTACATTACTTTACATTATCCATAAAATAAGCATTCATTTACTTCAAGAAAACTTGAATAAATTTATTTCCCTCTGTTCATTTGTTTAAACACTCACAAAAACAAGTAGACTTAAATCTTTTTGCTTAGTATAAATGCCAACTCCCCCATAATTCTTCTCTGAAAATACTCATTATATTGTCTGATAATTTTAATTAAAAGTAATCAAACTGTGAATCCTCGGGATGATTTAAATGCAGAATAAGGTGAATAGTTTAATAATCTTTAACTAAGTTTTAAATTAATTGCCATTTGTCATGAGTTAATACTGACATACCCAGTGAGGTACAGCAACTTAACATGGCATTAATTTCATAAGTGGCCAGAAGAACTCTTGAGAGATACTGAGTTATGCTGATATAATAGCTGTCCACAGCTTTATGATGTTTATAGGTGAAGTATCCAAACCTCCCCACCACATACATTAAATACTTTATTTGGCTTATATTGGACAAACACAGTAACTACAATGTTGTTGTTATTTCAAGAGTGCTTCTCAAACCAATTTTGGGCAACTTTGGGTAAATGATCCATCATTGTTGGTGTACATGGAATCAATAAATGGGTGCAAATGGTCACAAAATAGTGCATTATAGCAGTTATTGGCCAATGACATGTTTAGATGGCTCAGCAGACCCAACTTATGCCACATAAAATGCACTGCACAATTATGAAACCACTACTAGTGCTTTGTTCATGATCATGGAGTTTACACCACACCCAAATCCTATGATCAGCTTCAAACAACTGGAACCATATCACACTTTGCCAGTGCTCTTGGGCCCAATTAGCAATGTCATGAACGCAAGTGGGATGCTATTTCTAGTGTTTCAGATAATTATAAACCACTGCCTCTGATCATGACCATTAAGGACCATTGTCCCATCCATCTGGCACCCATCATTATTGCCCCATTCCTATTGCCTTGCTATGAGCTGCCTAATCAGTGTTCATACTGACTCACAAGATGTTAGAGCACAACTGATATAGGTCTGGATATTTCCATGATGTCAAGGTACAGTGACACAACCTAGCATTACTTTTACATAGTGCAATAACTCAGCTCTACTAAATATATTGAATCTTTAGATTCTTCAATCATATTTCGCTCATATGCTTATGAATGATATGTAGAAGAGAAGACGACTTACCTTGTGTGGGAAGTGTTATAATCTTCCTAAAACCAGATCTTCTTCTGATTCATGTTACACAAATTTACACCACTGGCCATGATGTGAATGCTCTGAAATCTAAGACTGAACTAAAAATTCTGTCAGCTTCACATTGGCTCCACACAAAGCTTCCGTTTTACTTACACACTCAAAGAAAAATACAATCCAATAATTTCCATCCAATAGCACCCACTCCTGCCTAAAGAAACAAAATAGAAATTGGAGCTGATCTGAGCCTAAGAAAAGGACATAAAAGCCCATTAAAGGGGCATCTTCAGCAATCAGACGGCACAACAATCAGGATTGACAACACTTGTTGGAACGTGACCTCCCATCTCCAAAGTAAACTCACTGAAAGGCCATCACCACAGTAAGTCAAAACTCCCTCTCCTACTGTATACCTCTGTGGATAACTTTTATGATCTACTTATCTTTTTCTTTCAGCGAGAGACATTTACACCAATTTAGTATTTGTTGTATTTTTACATTAATACAGGTGATTGTTTCTTAAACCTCCGTTGTATTTTCCTTGTTCTGCCACCTTAACATAACAGAAGCCTATTTTTTAAACTTAGTCAATATATACCAGGCATGCAAAAACTAATGGACTTCTTCCACTTAAAATTCTCAGCTCAATTTAAACTTGGTAACTTTTCCACCAAAATAGCAGTCTTAGCTATAAATAATGAAACATGATAAACCTAATGAAATTTTTCATGCTGTTTGGGATTAATCTGTCATTTTTTTGTTTTGTGTTTTGTATGATTCTCAAATTTATAAAATCTAAGATTTAAAACCATGATGTTACATACAGCATCTAATTTAATAATAAAATGCTAAATATCATCTTTGAGTATTATTAATCCCTAGTTGTTTATATAACATGCCATGGATAATATTTATTAAACAAATACATTTAGACGTTCATTCACTCTAATGATTACAAATGACATAACAGATGGGGAAGAAAAGGAAAAATGAAACATTGATGTGGGCTGTATTTTAGTATCAGTTGATTTTGAATCTGTTCTATATAGGCTGCCCACGGACTTTACTGCTACTCTCTCACTTAGCTTTTTTGTTGTTTTAACAAAGTATTCATGACAGTAAGAAAAATAATTTAATTAAACACCAAATTTTGCGCATACTTTATTTAAAATTTGTTTTTAGCAAGT